GCGCTTGCCAGGCAAGCGCTTATTCTGTTGAGCTATCCCCCCGTTCCCCAAAAACATTTTAACCCACTAAATTGGAATGGTTTGGGTTTTGGTTTTTGGTTGGGTTTTGGTTTTGCTTTTTGACTACTAAGACAAAATTCAAAGTTTGATAACCACCAGGCTAAAAGGCAATATTGTACAATTCCAGAGCACAAAGGACTTCAGTAAAACCATCCCGTCAACATCACTCAGCTCATTTGACAAATGAAAACATATACGTAGTTGTACATACCCTAACCCGGCCTTCTGGGAGAGTGAGGTAAGAAGATAGAAAGTTTGAACCCAGAGAGATTTAGTGAAACCTGGGCTCAGAATAAAAACAGAGGCTGGGATTTAGTCAGTGCAAAGACCATGGCTTCAATTCCCAGTCCTGGAAAAATAATGATGGTGATAGTGGTGGTGATACAGATGAAGCCCAAACAAGGAGAGCCGGAGAGATAGCTCAGAGGCATAAACGACTGCTTGCAGCGCAAGATCCTGAGTTCAATCCTGGGTACAAAAAAAAAAAAAAAAGGCAGAAGATAGGCTCCCTCCTTCTGCCACTCGCTGGACCAAACAAGTTAAGAGCTTTTTGTTTCAAAACTACCAAACTAAGCAATTTATTTTTAATTTATCATAATATTGTCTTTATACAGAAACAAGTAAAAACTTTCATTGAAGAATAATCCCTACAAGATATCTTTGAGAAACAAGACAAAACTGCCTTTTAACAATTCATATCCTTCTGTAGCCAGGTGTGGTGGCAAACACCTGTGATCCCAGCAATCAGGAGGCTGAGGCAGGAGGATTGGTGCAAGCTTGAGGCCAGCCTGGGCTACATAGAGAGTTCAAGACCAGCATGAACTACATAGTGAGACCCCTCTCAAAAACTAAAAATTTCAGGGCCAGGGAGATAACTCAGTGGAATAAGTGCTTGCCTGGCAAGCGCAAGGGCCTGAGTTCAATCCCCAGTTCTGCAAAAAAAAGAAAAGAAAACACAGATGAATATAGGGTCAGGGAGATGGCTCAGTAGAATAAGTGCTTCCCTGGCAAGCGCACGGGCCTGAGTTCAATCCCCAGTTCCGAAAAAAAAAAAAAAAACAGAGAAGTCATGAGACCACCAAAGGCTTTAGTGACAGAGCAGCCCCTGGGTGTAGACTTTCAAGGCATTCTCACCCATTTCATGTGGAGTCTCTGCAGTGATGGACAGAAGAGCCTTCTGGAATCCAGGAACTGGTGTTTATTAAACACCTGTTGTAATATGTGCAAAGTAAGCAGCTGTGGACTAGCCTGCTCTCCTTTTTCTGCCCACATCTCCAGCCCTTTTGATTCTTTTATTTTGAGACAGTTGCACAGGGACTTGCTGTGTATTTTAGGCTGACCTCGAACTCGCTGTGTAACTCAGGCTCAAGACAGTGCTTCTGCATCAGCCTCCTGAGTGCTGGGATTACAGTGTGCACCGCCAGGCCTGGCTGGATTATCTTCTTTTAACCCATTTTGTTCCCTCACTGAGTGTTGTGGTCCCCAGTTTACAAGCAAGTTCGCTGTCACTGATGAACAAAGCCTCACTGCTCGGGTCCCCCTGAAGCCAGCTGGCAGGGTCCCAGCTGCAGGGACCCTAGCACCACCACAGAATGTTGTCACAGAACTGCTCCAGACGCACAGGCAATAGGTTTTTCAAGTCACGCAACTTTTCTCATCCTCATTTCATGAAGCTAGGTGTTACAAAGGAGGAGAATTCCAAAAATAAATTTTGGTACTCTCCAGCTTGCTTAGGGCAATAGCTGACTGGAGAGGAGTCGTTAGAGCCTTTGAGAAATCAATGAAATCTTAGGAACCCTCCCCCTAGAATAGTCGTGGTGAACCTGCGGCACGCATGCTGCAGCGAGCTGTTTGTTGTCATGGGAAGATCTAAAAGGGGAAGGTGTATACATGAGGCAGAGGTATTACACAAAATTTTGATTCTAATTTCAAGGGACCTAATCAGTTTACGCTGCTCACTGTGCTATAAATCAGTAAGTTAGTAAATAAGACATATGCAAAATGTACTATATATCTTTTATTTTTTTTAATCTTTTATTTAAGTTATTTGGTACAGGGTCTCGCTATGCAACTCAGACACATAGGGATGCTCCTATCTTAGCCTCCCCAGCACTGGGATTACAGGTGTGTGCCACTATGCCTGGTTTCAGTGGCCAGCTCAGCGTGGGGCCAGCACAGCAGGTTGTACCAGGGTGGAACCCAGGTCCTTGAGTTTGCCAGGCAGGCTCTTAGATGACTGAGCTATGTTCTCAGCCTCCACGCTATCTCCCCAGCCCCATATCTTTTGTATCAGAGCTCTAACTTTTGTTCTTGTACAAGTGGAAAGCAGAGGGAGGCAGCGCTGTCCATATCTCAGCTCCTTTTATTCTTTTCTTTTGAGACTGTCTCACAAAAATGACTGGACTGGGGGCC